CGACTCGTCGACCCACCATGGCATCAAAATGGACGGCTCTGCGTGCAAACCTTTCCGTGAACTTGCCGTGACGTGCCCTGTTTTCACAAGTTTGCATGTTGCTCTTGCGACTCTCACTCCAACTCAATTTTGAATCTTCTTAAAGTGCTGCATTCAGCACATCGTTGTGCAAATTTCATTGGCCGCAATCTAAACAGCGCTCGGACAAGAGATCTGATATGAGTCACATGAACTGTAACAGGATGAAGCATGCAGGTGTGCTGAAAAATAAAATCCGAAAAAGTCGCAACGTGAACCCACGTCTGCACCCACTTTATGCAACAGAGGACCGTGACGGAAAACTGTTGCGACAGATATTTTTGTTGGCGCAAAGACGCAGAGCGTACCCAATCGATTTGAGGTCTATTCATGGAAAGCTTCGTTCCAACACTGGCGAAGCCTGTTTTGCAGACTTAGATCAACACTTGCGCTTTGAAGGGTCGTTTGCTAAAAATGAATCCACGCGCTGGCCGCCGACCTCGCGGCAGCCGAAGGGCAGCTGGCCGCGAACCAGTCCAGCATCACCGCCCTCAACACCAGTCTGACGACAGGCCTGGCCGCGAAGGCCAACCAGAGCGCGCTGGACGCCCTCCAGCTGGAGGTCCAAGGCAAGAGCACGCCGGCTTCTGTGGACACCAAACTAGCGAGCTACAGCACCACGGCTGCGATGAACTCAGCCATTACGAGCGCAAACAACGCGACGCTAGCCACTGTGAGCAGCACCTATGCCCTTCGAACGATAACAGACCAGTTGGCTTTAGATCGGGCAGCCAAGCTGTCCGGGGCTGACGTCGATATGAAAATAGCCACGGCGCTTTTGGACAGGCCCAACACCACCGACTTGACGGCCGCGGTCAACTTGAAAACCACACCTGCCGATGCGGACCAAAAGGTTGCGACCGCCCTCCTGACCTACGTCACGCGGACGGCTCTGAACGCTGCTTTGGCCCTTCGCGATGGCAGGCTGGACGCCGCCGAGGCATCCATAGCGAGCTTGCAAACGGCAGGCTTCCAAACGGCCGCTCAGGTAGCTTTGCTTATACAGACACCACAGGGTTGAATGCGCTGCTGGCCGTCAGGGATGGGCGCTTGGACGCCGCGGAAGCCTCGATTACAGGCCTGCAAACGGCGGGCTTCCAGACCTCGGCGGAGGTGGCCGCGCCGTCGCCACGGCCCTGCTGCCTTATGTTCAGCAAAGCATGCTGGACGCTGCGCTGGGCCTGCGCGACCTCAGACTGGACAGCGCAGAGGCCAACATCCTGGCACGCGGGGCCCTTTGCTAGCGCTGCTGATCTGGATTCCCTGGAAACCAGCCTTCAGAGCTCTATCGACGCCGTGCTGGCGCAGCTGGCGGTGCTGGCTGCCGGCGCCATGCAGAACGCTCCCGAATGGGCCGGGCAGACTAACTTGGAGCTGCTGGTGGGCGCCAGCACTCTGCGGCGGCTGCATGTGACAGCTCCGCTGAGCATCAGCCTTCAGAACGAGGACCTGGCCCTGAGCATCGCCCGCGGCAGCCACAGCACCGCCCAGGCGGACGCTGCCATCGCAGCGCGGCAATCACAGCCGCCCTGGCAGCCTTCAGCAACACTGCTGAAGTCAACGGGTTGATCGCTGCGGCCTTGGCCGCGCCCAGCACAACCGCTGAAATGAACTCTGCCATCGCTGCAGCGGTGGCCGGCATCGATCTGAGTCCGTATTACACCGCCGCTCAAACCGACGCTGCCATCACGGCTCCTTTGGTGCCCGTGACCTTGTCCAATGCCCCGGCTTGGGGCGCCAATCCACCCACTTGGGAGCCTTTAAAGGGCGCCAACGTGCTGCGGAACCTGCACTTTGCTGGCGCGCTCAGCGCAATTCTGCAGAACAACACAGACACGCTGGAAATCGACTGCGACAGCTTCGAAAAGGCTGAAACATACACCCAGGCCCGCTTCTGGGACGGGCAAGCGCGTCGCGGCGCCCGACAGCCTCAGGGGCCGGC